TCCAAAGGCCTGATAAAATACAATACTGTATAAATTCTGTACTGTATAAATTCACAGAATAAATTTAAAATATTTAAAATTAGTTAAACATCAGGATTCTCTTCCATGTTTTCTGGGCAGAGAGAAGGAATTTAGCCACAAGTTCTGTAATGGACTTGTTTGTATCTTCTAAAAGGTATTTTGTATACCAGTTCAATGTTCTTCCTGGAAAGCTTCTCATTAAGGGGTGTAGGAGCCTAAGAAATTCATAGATAGGCCTAAAAATGCAGTTTAGTTGGGGGGAAAAATTAACCAATAATTTCTGGAAATGGCAGGGCTTGAATTGGGTTCCTAAACACTTGGATCCTAAATTCTCCTAAAGTAAAGGGCAAGATAGTGTCCTTCAGATCACCTGGCTCCAAGATGTACATATTGAGTTTTTTGTTGTTGTTGTTGCTTTTTTAAAGATCCTGACAAACACTTTGAATTGTGCTTGGAAACAAACTGGCAGCCAGTCATGTGAATTTCGTTGTATGTGTATACTGTGTATCTACTTACAATGACAATAAATTATTATTATTATAGCAAAGAATTTTTATATGCACTCTAACCGATTCTGGTCAGCTGCCTGGACACAGCATTTTCAACCCACTGGAGATGCTGAAAGTTTCCAAAAGCAGCCTCAGGTAGAACTTGCCACAAAAATCCAAACAGAAGCTAAGTAAGGCATGCGCTACTCTATGGCCATTGTTTCAATTGGTAATGTTTAATGTTTCATTTGAAAGCCGTGAAACTCAAGGCAGCAATTCTACATGCATCACTGTGGAAACAAATCCAAAAGGAATTTACTTCTCGATGAACATTTATTGGTTGTGTTGCATTTTATCATAGTTTTGGTTCTATTATATTCTTTATATCTAATTTTAAAGTGGTTAAGCCATATTTATATCAAATTGTTGTTGCAAGTACTGTAAATAGTTTGCATTTCAATATGCAGCAGCTGAACACAAAGGACTTTTACAAAAAGAGATCCAAATAATTTCAATTCAAATAATTTTATTACACACATACATATCTTCCAAATTATTTGTTTTTCTCTCCAGTCAGTCAGCATTCTAAGGACCAAGACGCACAATTAGTCCTCAGTAGGATGGCTTTTTAAATCTTAAAGGGTTGGAGGTGTTGGGTTTTTGTTTTTTGTTTGTTTGTTTTTGTACCTCTGCAAACACTGGGGGTTTCACAACCATTTTTCTACATAAGGAATGGTAGTTGTTCCTGAATATCAGAAACAGAGGAAATTAGTGATGGGATTCAACAATAGATCATATTGTGAAGTGTACTTGTTCAAGTGCTGGTTCTTAGTTTTAAGGTCCTACACAACTTGTCGTGCACATACCTACTGGCCTGCTTCTACCTGTATAAATCCCTCCACCACTTCTGGTCATAAGGAGCTCCCCTTTTATAGATGCCAACTGTTAAAGCTGTCCAACCTGAATATGACAGGAAGCAATATTTTCATATTGTTGCCAGTATGTTTTATTACTTTCTTCTGTGAAATGACATGTCTTTGCTGGGATTCAGAGAGGCTGTAACCTGGAACATTTGGTGGGCTTTTGGATGCTGCTGATTTTATCTGTGTTTCCAATACTTTGTGCTAATATACTTTCTGCTTTTTAGATTGCTATGTTTTTAATATATTTTATATGTTTTCTTGGTTTAATCATGATGTTTATGACTTGGGTATCCTTGGACAGAAGAACATCATATACAGTAAATGAAAACAATAAATAAGTAAGTAAACAGAGAGTCCTAGCTACTCTGAAAATATAAGAAGCTGCAATCAGACTTAGGCTAATACTGACTGATGTGGCGAATCTGTGTGTTAGCTTTACTACTTCACACTGCATGTGGGATCTAAAATGACTGAGTGCCCTTCCATTTTTTTAAAGCCTTCATAAAAATCCATATGCCATGTTAGAAACTGACATGCCTGTCATCTTGTATTGTATATGGACAAAATATTTTCTATGGAAAATCATTCAACCTCTCTTCTCCAGTCCGAAATGGCACAATCCAAGCACAGATGTGTTATATTGGTAAAAAATACAAGTAGTGTAGTTCACTGGTTCTTAACCTTGGGTTACTCAGGAGTTTTGGACTGCAACTCCCAGAAGCCTTCACCACCAGCTGTCCTGACTGGGGTTTCTGGGAGTTGCACTTCAAAAGCATCCGAGTAACAAAGGTTAAGAACCACTGGTGTAGTTGGTTGCAGCAAGGATGGGGAGATGATTGCTGCAAAGGTACAGGGGCAAGTCTGCTTACTGGGTGTAAAACTGGCATGAAATGACACATCAAATCTGTTCTTAATGTAAGGGGAAGGGGGGGAAGGAGGGTACTCTGTAGAATAAAGTCAAGCCACTCTGCTTACCACACTGTCAAGTGGCAATTTACAGAAAACCTGGTCACTGACCAAGGTTATGCCAATCTCCAGATAGCAAGTCAACTGGCACAAAACAAACAAACAAACAAACAACACCCCTTCCCAACTTCCTAAGGATTACCAGAAGTCACCATGGGGACTCCCTGAAAGAAGAGGGTCTAAGACAGGTCACACTGGTTATTAGGCCAAAAAGAGATTGCAGCTTATGTGGCCAGCTCTGAGACAGGACCCTGATTGGGCAAAATCTCACAAGAGGCTGAAGGCCTGAAATCTCAGGACGTGAAATACTATTTTCTTGGACTGTGTCCAAGAAAACAGTGCCAAAGTGAATATGATAGTTTCACAATGAAGACTAAAATGATAACATCACTGCTCTATCATAGCATGTAGAATTCCTTGCCCTAGAAGATTAAGGTAAAATGTGTTGTTATATTTTTGTAACATAAGTGTGCACAGTAGGCAATGGCAATGCCCATACTGCACAATAATTTGGTGGCACTTCTTGTAATAGCTTAATTTCACTGTGTGTTGTATAATTAATTCTGGGGCAAAATTGTCAAAAATAAGCACTTTTAGCATGTGCTTAGTGTGAGGGTTCGTTATTAAGGGGGTCAGTCCCTTTCAATACAGACCGAGATGTGGTAAACTTTCCAACTTGTTCTGCATTTATTTGAACATCAGCATCAACAGGAATGTTATGAGTAACAACTTTCAAAGTCTCTTGTTCCCCCAAACCGGGGTGCAAGGGTGTCCATAAACTTCTCACAAAGGGGTTACTGTCCTCCATAGTCCAAGGTCCACTTAAACCTTTCACTGGGATCTGGGTTTCTAGAGGCTCTTCTTCTGGAGGGATTAGGGGAAGGGTCTCCTCGTAACCGCTCCACCCCCATAAGGATGAGCCTTCTCCGGTATCTGCCGACCATTGCCCGGGTAAACCCCCATCTTCTGTAACTCCGCCAAATGCCATGCTTTCTTCCGTTCAATCTCTTTAGCTACTGCCTCCCTCTCTTCCCTCATCTTGCGTCTCCACTCCTTTGCTGCCATTTCTCCCCAGTATGAGGGACGGGGTTACAAACCTTGTTTTCTCCGTCTCTCAACCTCATCATGGGGTACCCGCATCTGCTCCCATCTTCCCGTCCAGAGATCTTGTACCCAGATCCATTCCCAACTCCCCGCGATCTCCTCGCATTTTTCTTTTATATCCCCAGCTGCCGCCTCTATCTCCTCCTTCCCTTTTCCCGCCAAATCTTTCCCCCGTCCTGATGACAAGGTTAACCCCTTCAAGGTCTGTACCAGGTCACTGGTGTCTATACCCACATCTTTTAGCCCCCTATCTTCCTGCAACTCCCCCAACTCATGGGTGTCCACCTGCTTGTCTTCGCGGTAGGGTGGTGAAGGAGGGGGAGAGGTTTGGGTTTTTTGGGTCCACGACCGGAGCGACGGCACTCCTACATAGGCCTCCTGCTTGGGGGCCTCACACTTAGACCATGCCTACGCAATCAATGGAACATAAAAGTATGTAAAGTTGGCTAAATTTATACCACTTTTGATCATCTGGATCCAGAGTATTATAAAACTAGTTCTCCAGGAGATGCGAGGTGGGGGACTTGCATTTTCGGAAACTGCAGTTTCCCAAACTACATCACACATGCATTCCAAAATTTAAAGAACATTTCAAAAGCAATCTGAAATATATGTCTATTGTTTAAATTCAAAAAGTGAAAATATTCCTGGACATGCCCAAGCAAACTGTTTCATGAATTTCCCCACCACTTTTTTTGTTTGTTTATTCATGAAACAAGCTTATATAGATGAAAAATGTGTGATTGTTTGTTTATTCATGAAACAAGCTTATATAGATGAAAAATGTGTGATTTGGATGAGGGCACACACATTTGAATCACACACACACTGGGTAATCTCACCTGGCCTCTCTTGTTGGAGGCACAGTGGAGAACCAAACTGCCAGCTGGAGCTCCAACCCATTGAGCTATAACAGCTCAGTAGTGACTGGCCTGGCTTTAAAATAGGGCTTTTTCTTGATTGAATTCCTAAACAACATGTCTTCCTACCACCACACCATCTTTGTCAGGTAAATTTTGAGATAGAGAAGGAACTCTGGCATGAATTCTCCTATACTGGCTCCCTGCAGTCTCATCTGTGAGTGTATATAATCCCTATACTACTCTTCTGAGGACTTCTTTATTCCCCCAAAACTCAGTAGTCTCTCACATCTATCTTTATATCTTTTAACTATCCATTCCACCCTTTTCACCATGATAGCACTTTCCATCTGATTCCTTACATAGCACAGGCACTGGACTTTCTTTTGACCTTCTGCTGAATAATAGGTAATAGGCTGGTAAAAATATCAAGTCCTTGCCTTTTTCTATGTTGAAACGATACAGTAGACTATGAAACAGGAAGCATGACAGTTTGTTATCTAAAGCATCAGAAAGTCAAGCTATTTCTAATGCCCTTAGTGGCCTATGAGAAAAACAAGCCTCGAAGAACTTAAGGGGGAAAGAGGCTATGAAGAATCTGCTGTTTATACCCATGTAATGACTACTCCAGCGTTACCTGATCAGGAATCCATGATTTGTAGTAACATTTTAAGCTTCATTGTATTCAAAGGGAAGAAGCTTCTAGCTGAATATTGTGAGTCCAAGCTGTTGCTATGACAACCAGAACTGTTGTGTAACAATGCTGCTGTTGAGCATGTCCAGACTGAAGTGTCAGCTATCTTCACTGACCATGAGGCCAGTTAAGTCTGATATAATGTTGTGTGGCAATGTCTGTAAAAAGCTTATGGAACAGGTAAGATTTGTTTTCTGCTCCAGATAGCAAATCCCATCAAATCGGCTTGGCCCCCATGTTAACAAAGAAAAAAGACACACAGGGCCCATTATTTATTTATTTATTTATTTAT